CTACTTATGGTATGACAAACTTCATCAAACTGACTCTACATTAACTACAACAAATCAGTTACATTCACTATTGACACACTTAGAGGTAAAGGTATCCCTGGTTCTTTACTAATTACCATGCCACACAAATGGGGAGTGAATGTACAGCTCCTCACATTCCTAATTGATAAACTTTCAGTGTGTAAGATTATTAACACTTGATAAGTTCCTTACATCTCATTTTTATTCTTCGTTATGAAGAAGTTCTTTATAATACATCTGCTAGGAGAAGCTTAAATGGCACAAAACTGGACTACAGTTTTAATATCCATTTTATTCAAAGCAGGCAAGAGCTGTTGGCTGTGCAACAATATAGTATGGTGAGGGCAAGTCCTTGACAGCATCTGAAAGAATTATGTACACCTGTGTCCATCTCAGAGATCAATAGTTATTAAGAACATTAACTGTTACTAATATATAAAAATAAGCATACAAACTAACTGTTTACATAATAATTATTGTGTAAACAGTTTGTTTGTATGCTTATTTTTATATTCTAATACACTGCATGGTATGCAAAGTTTTAATGTTACTAACATGCCAACCTTACATATGTCACAAAACTGTCAATACAGTGTAGTTCACATTGTAAGAAACAAAGAGTACAGTGTAAATGTATTGTTTATATTTCATGTATTCTGCGAAATTACAAATACAGGAGATATTTTGAACTTCCTAGAAAAATAATTTTGTTAAAGATGTCATTAACAAAAGCATTTCAGTTCATTTGTCTGTCATTTCATCTACCTGCGTTCAAAGCCATCCAGCTAAATTCTGAAGCTCCCTGCAATATGATTTAGTAGACCTCTTATCCAATCAAATAGACTTCTACATGGATTTCTAGGTTTTACACCAGCCAATAATCTTATAATTTTCTTTTGTAAAGTGAATATTCTTTTACTGTTTGATGAATTACCCCCAAAAATTATTCCATACTTCATTATAGCGTGAAAATAGGCAAAATATACTGATCTGAGTGTGTCAGTGTTGCTGACATGCAACAGAGATCTAACTGTGTAACATGCGCCACTTAACTTAGGTATCAGTTTATCAACATGATTTGTCCATTTTAGGTGATTATCAATTTGCAAACCCAAGAATTTTTTATTTATTGACTCTTGTATATACTTCCCATTATAACCAATACTTAAAGCATATTGTGGTGAGTTTTTTGTTATAAATTTTATTATATTCGTTTGATCTAGATTTAGGGCCAGCTTGTTAGCAGTAAACCATTTACTCATATGAGACAAAACTATGTTTGATGTTTAACAGAAATCATCAAAAGTTTAGAATTGTAGTTAAAAATGTTTCTGACAGAAGAAACCAGATATGACAACCATGAAACCAAGAGAGTTACACACAAAAATTAACTATTGTTTCAGGAATGGAAATAAATATTTTCATTTGTACTAATGCAGAACTTACAAACTCTGTCACCAAAGACAAGTACTCACCTCTATATCTGTACAGATGGTGGGAAGTATTAAGGAAACTCTCCATCCACCATGACCTCCACTGTATCAACCATAATAAACCCATTATTTTGTTTTCTGCAATCAATGCCTTGTAACAAGTTGTCCAGGATGGATGAGTAGTGAAATATGCTATCTTTGAATCCTTAAATAGATACTATGGGAGTAGTCCCACACACCAATAAAATAATATTCACAGCAGTTTCAAATTTTAACGGTCCTTGGCTGCTATGTACTCATGATGGAGAAGGGGCCCCTTGCAGCCAAGGTCCCCTGCATTTGCAGGGTGGGCTGGGATAGCACTGTGTGTTCGTTTCTGTTCCTAGTTTTTCAGGCTTTTAATAACACAAACAGCAAGAAGTTCACGATTTCAAGTCTTTGCGGAACTTTGTCACAAATTAACAGCATTTCAAAGCATTATTCCTGTTTGGTACATTGCCCAGTCTGATTTTTACCAGTTACTATATTCATAAATATATTTGGTTTCAATGACACAATGCATCTATCATTATTACCATCACCACTAAATACAGAATTCATACACACACATTTATTTACAATTTTCTGGTATATATATATACACACACAAATTAGCTCGGCCTAAGCACCATTCCAACAAATCATACGAGGGGTTAAAGTTCCATTCTAAGAACTTGATACACAACGTGCACGTGAGTGACCATCTACTTCTAACCTCAAGAGAAGTTTTATGATGGGTGAGACTAGGTCTCTGTGGAACTGTGGCCACAAATAAGCAAAATGTCCACTCCCCACCAGATACGAATGAATACAGAGCACTGGTGAAATAATACTGGCAGGAGAAAACCAAAGGACTCAGAAAAATCTTTTGCCCCTTTGATGACCACAAATCCCATAAGGACTGCCCAGGAAGTGAACCCAGGCCCCAACAGCAAAAACCTGGCAATTAATCATCTCTGCTACAGCATGACTCAGGAGAAACAAAAACAGTATCACAGATTTGTGCCATATCGTTTAAGGGTATCATGAATGACAAATGAGAAAATTTATGTAATGTATGGAAAGAAATTAAAGCATTAATTAAAACTCGCATTTTTAAATTTTCAGGAACAGGAAGAAAACTGTGATTCTCATTTATTTTGTTTTGCACTGCAAATGATAATGATTAAATATGATCTTTCAGACAAATTAAAATGGCATGAAAACAATTACCAAAAACTCGGCCAGTGATCTATAAAAACATTATATCACTCTAGGGTAATTACATCAGGAGCAACTGGTTTCATACTTTTACGTTTCTGTTTGTGACATGGACTGCCTACTTTCCGAACAAACTTTCGCACACGTGGTTCTACTTTCCCATCAGTATGAGCAATCACAGAATTTGTGTCTGACTTTACCTTCATTTCTGTGACCCCAAATTTGCTAATAATTACATTCCTTTCTGCTGTTGTGTGCACACAAATGTCTGAATTATGCTTACCATTTGACTTCTTTCTATCAAAATTTATGTTACTTGGTATTATAGTTACTGTATCTGAATTTTCTGCAATGGAATCAAAGTCACACGTATCTGGATGCAACAAAGAAGGAGAAGTCCTGTCTTCCTCATCAGCATTATCCTCAATGCTGAATGTAGGTAAAGATGCCTGGGATTTTGGTATGTCACACTGTTTTGAGTGGGAAGGTGATGAGTCATCATCACTTTCAGCAACAGAAGCTGAAGATAATTCAGGCTTTAATTTTTTACATTGCTGTAAATAAGAAGATTGCAAATGTGCATGTTCTTGAATAGCTGTACTTAAGGATGAATCAATTTTGAGTGTGTTTTCTTGCTCTGGATGGTGAGATACATCATCACAATTAATAAGATCTGGCATTGTTAATGATTCGGAAACTGAATTTTTGTACTGTTCAGAATGAAGCATAAGGGATAATGGTGGAGAAAGTGACTCAGAAACAAGTGAATCATGTTGATTAAAATGAGACGATGGCAATCTGCACTTTGTGTCACTTGGAGAACTTGCATTTTCTTCATAGGTGGTATTATCTTTGATGGATGGTAGTTCCACATAATAAAATTCATGTTTACTTAAATCTTCTCCTAAGACAGGGGGTGATACAGGTCCAAGACGTCTACTCTGGAGAATATCTTTAACAGACGGTGGTCTAGAGTAGTTTTGAGTATGTGCCGCTTGGTGGTCCTGTAAATGTACATGGTTACTTGTCTGCTCTAAAATATCCACTTCTTGGTCAGGTAATACATGACTACTTTTGCAATCATCTTTGCCACTTTTTCCATTCTCTTCATGTTTCTCTGATTTTGTATCTTCATCCGCTGTAACATGTTAAAACAAAACAGACTATCAACAGAATTCTACCAGTCTCACATTTTTCAGGGCATCAGAATACCAGAACACAAAACACAACATTCCAGAAGACAGTCCTTTTTGTAATACAAAGGAACCAGAAGGAATATTTGAGACACTAACCTGTAGGTGAATGTAAAAAGCAGAAGACATCTCATATCTCATTATTGTCTTCTGATTTAAAGCCACTACTTTCCTCAGGTGCAACATTTTCACAAACAAGAATTCAGTGACAAAGTCATGATTCAACCATTTAAATTTGCATGGAGAAATGCTCCTCCCAGAATTTACACAAGTCAGTTTTAAATGACATTATTTCTTTACTAGTTGACAGAAAATGCAGTAAATGAACTTAAAACTCATTTTTAAGTAATCAATATTGCTAGAATACATACACACAGGATAACTGGTATTAAAAATATTCTTTGAGGAAACAGGTACTCTTACAGATTTGTGTGCCTTTCTGATCTGCAGTTTTAGAATCATTAGATAGTCAACTATGAACCATGACAATAGACACCTGAGTATTAGCAAGCAGGTTTTTATGTCACTGTCCACGTAATGCAACATATTACTGGGCATACATTTACAGTGCTTGCACAAGTATCTTGTTAGGTCATACGTGTCTGACTTACAAGTTTCTGAATTGAAATTAAAACTGTCTCATACCAAGACCTTTCAAAGAAGTCTTCTGATCAAATCTTCTTAAATGGCAACATGCCTCTGTCCCCCCCCCCCCTCAAATCATCATTATTTATTACTTTCTACTCACTAGTGGCCTGTTTAGGAACAGAAGACTGGCACTCCGTTATCATTCTGTGAGGGGACCTGGCGATATTACAGTAAAGGGAAAAGACCCTAGACTCTCATCCAGAATTAATATCCAGTCACATCTGTGTGCATACTCTTCTGCTTAGTGTGAATCCTTCACATCTTCCAAACATAAAATTTTGGGGATGTGAAGAATACCAAGCCCCTTCAAGGTTCATTTCCCACAATAAGCCATAGATCACATGAAAATCTCATGAACACTCAATTACATGGAGTAACAAAATCTGCCCTGTGAGTATTACAAAATCAAATGGATTCTACACCTTGCTTAAATGGGAGAATGTTAGGAAAGCCATAATAAACACTGGTATATTTGTAGCCACATGCCCAAAGCTTTTGTCCTACTTCATGTACCGCATAGTGATTTCCTTAATTTCATTAGTGTAAGTACACCTGTATGATACTCGCTATTGGAACTGAGAATCCTGACAGGTGGCAAATTTACATTAAACATGCAACATAATATAAATATATTTATTCTGTATTACAGTATCAACACTCACAGCTAAACTTTCCTTCTCCTCTCAGGACCTTGTCTACAAAGTCTTTTTCCTCTTCTTCTTCATCATCATTTGACCCGCTCTCTTCACTTTTGTTCACATAATCATCTGCTACTTCTTCCGCCTCCAATTTGTCTATAACCTGCTTTTCAGCAAAGCTGTCAATTACCTATAGACAGGAGGGAATATTCAATGTAGTGAAAAAATATTAATACAACCAATATCATAATTACACCCTTCTGGCATATATCCCACTATTATGTTGTTGAACCAAATATTTCTGATTATGCAAATTCACTGATATGCCATTCTAGCATGATGCCCCTTATGTTAACATAAATTCCCTTTTGCACTTAACCAACTGAATTTAGATCAACAAATAAAAAAAAACCATAACTTAAAAGCACACAAAAATAATGAACTCCATTCCATCTGTTTCACACACAAAGACTGCAATTAAAAGCATAAGGCAGGCTCTAAGATAAATGAATGGGTATGATTAAGCACTTTTCAACAAATCATAACACATAGCTCCTGACCAATCACCATGTGACATAATATTAATCATCAATGGCTGAACACCTGCCATTCTTTTGGCCATACTGTTAGAGAATGTTACTCATCTTACTTTTCTACATTTTTCATGGAAACAACACCTGTAGATGAAACAGAGTACATAATTCATTAATATGGTTACATGTTTTAATATCAATGCATAAAATATGAGTTTCCACATGTCTACTTACCCAAAAATTGTTGAATTGGGTTTCTTTATATCTAAGTGTAAATCATCCACCCATTCTTAATGAAAATTAAAATAGAAACATTTCATCTTATAATCTGGCAAATACAATACATATGCAGTGCTTTCACAATTTTATTGCATGGTTTAATTAATTATTTAAATATGTTACAACAGATTATTTTCTATAGTTGATGTGCATAAACCTTATACCATATATAATATACATCCATCCACAATTAAATACTCTTGAGAAGGGGGGAGGGACAGAGGACAACACATCTGAAGCTGTAAGCGGTAACAACAATGCCTACATTCTGAATACGTGAAGAATATTCCTTGTAGTTAGTCTGCAATTTGGATTGAAGATCAGGATCACTCTCAGCAGGATCAGCTTGATCCTTGAGGAAAACTGACACCGAATCCCATGACTCATATTGCCGTTGCTTCTGCAACTGCTTCCCAACTAACAGGAATGCATCTTCTGCTGTTAAATTATGAAAACTAAATTACTACTTATGTTATTTAACACAGTTAATGTTTTTCTAGTTATGCACAGAAGGATCTCACACAATTTCAAAATAATTAACTAACTAGTTCTCTGGTAATGGGACACCAGTACACACAAACCCGAGTATATTCCATTTACCTACCATCCTCACAATCTAATATCAACAAATTATATTATTTAAAAAGATATATCCCCACAAGCAGTGAAAGCTGGATATATGGAGGATAATAAGCAACTTATATACAAATTTAAATTATTACATTTTGTGATAGAGGTAGGAAGATACATCTCTGAATTTATATAAATGACCATCAAATAAATTGATAAAATTAAAAGCAGCTGTGGTGTCAAAGAAAATGGATTCAGGATATTTATAAAAGCTTTTCTTAAATATCCTTCAAATAAAAACTGCATAATTCTTAGGATGTCTGTTTGACTACCTGCACATTTCATCTCAAGAGTTACTTATCAGATTTCCCTGAAAACTGATATTGGAGATCTACGGTACAATTTGTCACATAATCTTAATTTGGGTCTATTTAACTATAAACCATACCTTGTAAGAGGCTTAAGTCAAAATTTATCAACTTTTTCTGAAATGACACACCACACAAAAAATATGCACTTAATGTAAAATACAGAACTTGCTGCAGTCCACAACTTTGTCTGAAATTTTTTTCAATATGCTGAATGTTCAATAAAATACAAAGAAAAATAATATATAATGCTAAAGAGCATGAATAATTATGCAACAACATTTGTACCAATAACATGCTTCAATGCTCTCACACACACACAATAACTCACTGCTGGCATTTATTTTCTTTTTGCTGTTAATGAAAATACAGTATTTATGTAGTGATACTTATATAGTAATTTATTTTGATTATACAAATAAGTTTATTGCAGATGATAAAAATTAAAGTGATAATAATTTAAAATGTCAATATTATGTTGAATGAATGATAACTGGATAGAGCAATCAAAAAGTAATGCATCTGGAATATACATGTACTTCACATTCTATGTAAATGAAACTACAATTAATCAGTCTAACTGTATGTACTCTTAGCGCAATGTCAAAATATACCATAAAGATTATATTTCAGTGGATCCTCATAATTCAACATAAACATTAATATTTTACAAAGTAGTAAACACATTTTTCTGATAATTTATATCTACCAAAAATTACATAATCCTCTGCATGAAGTTATTACATTTAACTCACCTATACATCGCAAATTTTCAGGTCTCATATTTACATCTGTTTGAACAGTTTTCACCAATGACAAGATATCATGGAAATCAGGAAACTGGCCAGTTTTGTTCACAAACTTCTCAATGCACCTGTTTATCTCCGATGATCGTGTCCCTGAAAAAAGACAGGCCCATAAATATAACACAAAGTATACAGAGATTATCTGGTAGCTCATACTAGAAATTACACATTATATGGGGGCAGATTCATAAAATGCTTACCAAATGCTATTAGAACAATCTTCTAAAGTTTCACAGAAATATAACTTACACACTGTAACGTTGCCAACAATAGCAAAACAAATATATGAAAAACAGAATGACTTAGTACACTTCCAAATTAATATGCCATGGTTACAAGCAACAGATTACATATTTTTCTATATAGGTAATGCAGATCATTAGTCTGCACTGGTGTTTTATAAGAAAATTAAACTAGCAGGATTTATTGTTTGCATATCTCCCAGACATTCTTCTGTACTCCCAATAAATCCCATTTTAACTTCATGAATTCTCCATGTACTTTTTTCAACAGACTTGGTCTATGACTTCTGACATTCAATTTCCAAGTATCATGTCCTTTCTGCATTGCTTAGGTGGTCCTAATAAGACTAGAAAAGATGTAATATGTACCAGAACACAGTTTCTATCACCCTGTCATAAAGTTACTTCCCCCAACCACAACTCAGCTGGCCAACGTACTGATAATGTTCTAAAGCTGTGTTCAAGAGTATCTATTCTGACCCTTGGTCAGGCTACCAGCTATCACGACTGAGGCCTTCTAAAGTTTTTGTGATTTCTAAAGGTGAAGGCAGGACAGTACCTTGACACAGGCTCTGAATACCTTCTTTGAAATCCTATTCACCATCCACAATCATCTTCTCATTCTACACAATGCTATATAACCTCTGCAGTTGAAAGTGTGATTAAATAATCCAATAATAAGTCCAGACCTGCTCTGAGGCCCGCCCAGCTTCCCATCCAATGAGTACCGAATGTCCTCTCCCTGCGGGTAGAGTGGGGATGGGGCATGATGTTGATCACTCACCCCCATCTAATGCTGAAGTCAAGAATGAACAAGATCTATGCCTCCTCTTCCTGAAGCACCTCCATGGCTTGAAGCAGGGCAGTTTTACTTTTACTGGCATTTTATCTAATGATTTCCAAAACATGACAGTGACTTTCTGTTCCACTTTCATACCTATTCTGAGTACTCTGCAAGCCTGCATATAACCACATATCAGCAGCAAGAAAGGCACATAATAAGCAAGATTTTAAAGAACAAACATGCTGTTTATCAGCACAAGTTGCATGAAATTCAGGTATGGAGCAGCTGGTGTTTGGCAAGTCCAATTTTAACAAGCTATGATCTTACCTGAAAATACAATTCTTCTACGATTTGCTTTATATCCAACTGAATCTCCTGTCAACTCGCAGAGCTTTTGGTATACCTTACAGAATCTGTCTTTGTACCTGTAGAACAGGAAATTATAACTTGTTATAATCAAATTTTAGGGTATACTAAGAGAGCAGATTTTAATTTTTTTGATTTCAATATTAAATTAATCAATTAACTTACTTCCAAAATATAATTTTCAAAGACATAAGAACTATTCACACTTTGGACTTCCACATCTAAAATTTATTATATTTAATCCTATTTCTGATACCTACTTCTCTAAATTTGTCAGTTTTTTGTGAAAGATCATTCAGTGTATTTTCATTATGTGTCATCATAAAGAAATAGTCATATTATGAGAAGAATTTCAGAAGAACATTATGCAGGCAAAATGGATAAAGAGAAAAGATGGCACAATATACTTGCAAGTACCACTACCAACACCAATGCATTCTCCCATCCCTCAGGCAAATGATCAATCAGAGCTTAGTAACTGTCCACACCTCATGTAATAATGCTCTGATGGCCTGTTTACAGATCTACAGATTAAAACTGGCATTCCTTCATCAGAAAAAAAGGGCAAGGGGGGAAACTAATCATAGGATGGGGGATAGGCATGGGAAAAATGGGGTATCACCTCTCAACCTCTAGCTTACAGTAAACGTTGCACATTGCAGTATGTACCATACTGTACTGGAGAAAAAAGACATTATGTTCAAGCAGTCCTGGTTGTTTGCAATACAGGGTAGGTTGCACCATATCACATGAAAATACCCTGTATGTACCATTGAGGGTGATATGCGGTGGCTTGGAATAGTCGAGCACAAGCCTGTCATAAATAAAGAACATGACGTGATCACAGGTAGTACTCAACAGATCCTATCGTCTCATCTATGAAATGCAGACCACACTAGGTTCCCCCCATAAACACAACACATGAAGATTGATAACAAGGTTAAGATTCTGTATTATGTGTGTATAAATCTTTAAAGGACACTCTTGAGTTTCAAGAAATCCTGTTACAAAAATACCCATAGTGGATAACAGTAGATAGGAAACAGCAGAAAACAGACAAAGTCCTCCCAGTTGCACTATTATCTGCCTAGTGTTTTAATAACAGCCAATACCTCTCTAGTCTGATGAATGCAGAATCATTTTCTTCATCAAAATCAACCTCCTTTTCCTCCAGCTTCACAATGCGTTTATGTAATTTCTAGAAAAATATAATAAAATACACACTTTCATTAATGTCAAACATCAACTTATCCAACACAAAAATTTAAGTATATGTTAAATTTATAATGAAATATGAACAGCCACCAGAAATGAGGTGCAGTCCAAAACAGTCTCTGTTCACTATAATAAAATACTGGAATAAATGATGGTGGATCATACTGGAGCGACCAACACAAATAAAGAATGGTGTCACAGACAGAGGCAGATACACACACATAAATACTATTTGTTTCATGCCTGTAGTAACTGAATACTTTACATATAAACTCTCAGAAGCTGACTGGCTAACAAAGGCACAGAAGCATCCAAAACTTGGCCACCATTGTTCATGTCTGCTACTTTAGTTGTAAAGTATTTGTACATCAGTCCTTGTCCAGCGACACTTCTGAGTATGTGCACTTAATAAACTGTATACTGGTCGCCAGTCATATTTTCTCTTAAAACATCCAAGCAGACATGGTAAATTTTAACTCCTACAGCAGAATGGTAACATATAAAATTGTGGAAAGAATATCCTACTACAATAAAGAGACCTGAATTTTCTGTTTTTCCAAGGCTATGCCCAAGCTTGCACATCACTCAAAAGTTCTCCAGTTTACTTTCCACTCTGTTTTTTGAAAACAAAAAACAGATAAACGGACATGTGGCACAATTAAATAGAAAAAATAAAGCAAAAACAGTTCATGCCCTGTAGATAAACGTGAGAGTGCACAAAATAACAACTGTTACAATTATGAGTCATCGTGCAAACCACACATACAGGATTACTGGAGTCAACAATTTTTACTACTTACTTGAAATCAAGTGACATGCTGAGAGACAGATTTGTGGCCACTCTTAGGGCTAAATCTAAGCCACTCTTTGGGCTAAATCTAAATAATTTAGTCCAAGTACCCAGGAATCAATATGTGCATGATTTTCTGTACAAGATATAGCCTACTCAGTACTCTGCCAGCAGGATTTCAAAATGTGCTCGCTCCAGTGTAATTTCTTACAATTTATGGGACCACCTGTACATTCTAGGGATGAATACATGAAAGGAAAGCACCATAAATAAGAGATGAAAATATATGAATTATAAACCGGACATTTTTGTTATCTGAAGTGTAAGCTGGTTCTTACTCCACCATCACATATACAACAATTATTAACGTTGTAGACAGAATCTGTCAGTTGATAAAAAATAAGATATACACAGACAAGCAGTTCACAAGTCCTACATTAGTCACTGAAAACAAATGCAGTTGGGGCTGGGGAGTTTGGAGAGGGAGGGAGAATTGAAAATGGGCATACACTATCCATGCAAAATCTTACCTCCTCATAATCAACAGGTGACATATTTTTAAGTGCAGGCTGACATACCAAGTACAACACAATAATACCATGGTTGACACCAATGTGTTAAGCAGAACCCCAGGGATAGGGGGTGCCAGTAATGTTTTAAAAATGTTGCAGGTCAGGTGTGGGACAAAGGCTTTATCCATTGCCAGGTATGGCTGTATAGAGAGCAAATTATGATACATGACCGTTGTTGTTGGCAAGAATCTGCTGCACGTTAAACAATGGTTAAACTATTAAAAGCACTCATTATTCACTAGTGTATATACTTACCTCCACAGCTTTGGAGAGTTTCTTAATTTTTCTGTCTGTGTACCTAGATTCTACACAGTTCATTAATGTAGATAAGTCATCTCTTCCTGCTATACCTTTATCCTCCTCTTTAGCATGGCTACTAGTTTCTCGTCCCATCACATTCAAATTACCACAACTAACAAATGGATCATTAGAAGTTTTTTGTATTTTACTAGGTGGTCCATGTTGCTTCAATCTTCGAATCTTCATTTCATCAACAACGTCTTTTATATACACATATATGTTGGAAGGTCCTTTTATTATCGCATCCATCTTACACATTACCAAGTCTTGGAATTCCTGTGATGAAACATAAGCAGGCTTGGTCTTCAAGTAATAAATGCGTGCTTTCTGGAGAATTTTTTCCATTTCTGGGCTTTTATTATTCTGCCAACAAAGTTTCAGGAACTGTGAAAAATAATAATTAGTAACTGTAAATTATAATGTTCACATTACACATATAAATGATTCCTAAAGATAACATCTTTTTAATCAGAGCACCGGAGCAGAGGACTAAAACAATGTAAATTTTGTTTTTCCTTTAAATAACAGAACAACTGTGGTTTTAAAGCAAATAAATCTGTCCCTTTCTCTAATCTATCAATATGTTATAAAGACATATGGCAAAGTGGAGGTAAAGCTCCACAAATTCTTAACCTCTCAGCACTAAATGAAGATAAATGATGAACTTCAACAAATTACAACACCTGTAACTATAATCACAAACAATTCAATTCTACACACACACACACACAAACACGTGTGTGTGTGTTAATTTAACCATTGCTTTATTTTTTAACACATTTTAAACAAAGTTGCAACTTAGTTACCCACAAATTATAACTGCCACACATTTTTGTAAATATGATAAATCTTGCCTGCAGTATTGAATTACTCTTACTTTTATCATCTACACTTCATACTTTAAATACTTTTCTTTTAGTGTTAGCTTGCTTGATTTGTATGAAATGAGTGATGAGTAGAGATTTGGGCAACAACATTAAGCAAACTAACCATGTGCCAATATTCAATGTACCTGAATAAATTAAAAACATTCCCAAAATTAGTTTAGAATCACCTTTTCAAATACAGTTTTATTTCCATGTTCTTCACTCTCATTTGGCAAAAGTTTAAGGTTCTGCATACAGAATTTGGCTTCACTTTCCTTTTCTACCTTCAGTTCCCCACTTAGATGTACAGGATGAATCTGAAAAAGTAAAACATTTGAAAATTATGAAAAGTAACTGAAAATAAAACTTACAACAAAAGACATGAAGTATGGTACAAGACTATTGTGTCACAACCCAGAAGACAACAATCATAATCTTTGCCAATATTACTAGGATGATTAAATCAAGGTGGACAAAGACGGGCCATGTAGGATGCACAGAAGTGAGGAGAAATGCATATGTTTTAATCAGAAAGCCTGATGACAGATCTTTGGAAAATCCATGCACTGATGGAATAGTATTATTAAAATGGATATTAAAGATATAAGGTGTGATAATGTAGACAGGCTTCACCTGGTTCTGGATTAGAACTAGTGCAGGTTCTTGCAAGTAAATGTGATAATGGACTTTCAGGTTTCATAAAAGATGGGAAATTTGTAACTTATTTTTCACTACTGCTGTCACTCATACACATTTTAACCAATGTCAACTGTCAAGCCAGTTTTTAAACACAAAATATACCCTTCTAAAAAGACAGAGAGGTGTTGCTGTGATACTCTCCTACAGAAGTTAGGTTATGTTGCATCAGTAATCCAATTGGTCTGAAGTGAATAATCATATGATAATGATGGTTGGAAATAAAAAACCTCTATAGTAGTGCACTGCTACAGAAGTGTGTAGCACTCAAAAGGTTAACTATAGTAGCTGTCACCAAAGTGTTTGCTTCATCATTTGTACAACACTGCAACATAAACAGCAGATTCCATGCGAGTGAACATAGTTTAGAATTTGCAGCATATCAAAAGCTAGGAATACTGTACTGTTGACATAGAGCTACACAGTAAGAGGAACCAGAGTACTTCCATAGCCTTGAAGAGCGCAATTTGGTGACGGCCACTATAACTTCACAGTACAGGTTCTTTATTTAGCAAACTGACAATTATTAAACTGGTCAAGAAGTACAATACTTTTATTTTCCGTCGTTTCACAAGCTTATTGTTAAAATCACATAAAATTGTTACATTTTTAAAATTGACGACATGTTTCGATATACAATTCTATCATCGTCAGGTCTATCAAAATTAAAATTAAAATCTGGTGTATCTGTTGCTCTGCTTATATTGATTTTGTTTTTACCCGTTTTTGATTTTATTACATCTCCAGGCTTCTTCCATTTAATTTTGGAGACTGCGCCTGGGTGCCTATATCGGGTTGTGTGTGATGTGCGTGTCCGTTGTTATTGTTGTTATATAAGCTGGTCAAGAAGTTTTCTGATTTTATGGAATAGAAAGAACCATCACCATGTTTAAGGATGCTAGGCACTGGGCCCTATATTAGATAGTTCAATCCATTTCTCAAAGATCTGAGTATCCTTTTATGTACATTTAGGACTAATAAGTGGTGTCTTCTGACTATGGAAATAGCTTGAACTGCCCATTATATGAACCTAAACAGAAGTTCATTTATCACAGATCTGAAATTCCACAGCTTAATCACATAAACCAGAACAAGAAAACTGTCACATAATAATCTGCTTACCCTCTTACGTGGTTTATTAGTATGATGTATATCGTCATCTGTTGTCTGTCGCCTCTCTAACTTGTTTGAAGATTCAAGTTTCCCTGTCACCTGTTTCAATGGAGATTTATCCTGAAAATAAGTCAATGACACTTACATTCACATTGGAAAGCCCACAGATGTGTTGGAGTAGCAGTGACCACACTGTACCCCATAAAAAAAAATCATTCCCACCCATAGCAATATTCACTCATTGTTAATAACACAGTTTGGTGTGTGTATAATTAATTCATTAAAATGTCAGGGTTAGCAACTACAAATAATTGCAAGTAGTCACCACAAGTTGGACTAGTAATTGCAAAGAAGTTCCAAATTTAGTATCAGATTAGACGGTTTTCATAGTCTGAATACCAGTAGTTATGCCAGGGGCATCAACTACACATTAACCCTGAATTCAGAAAAGGTTATAATTGGTCACTGTGAAAGTAAATATATCCTACACCACAAACACTGTATTATTTTTTTTTCGTCTAATGGGTTAACGACAACAACACAAGCCTAAAACACGCAACACTCTTCAAAAATTTCTATTTAAATCCGCTGCAAACGCCTTGACCCATGTTATTCTCTACCAATAAATAATTCTACATTCTACCATAAACACCATACTCGAAGTCAACGTACAGAATGTTGGGTAGATTTGAAAACTGAGTAGATGCAAACGGGAAATAAAGTACTTGACTGCCTACCTTTCTAAATGGGACACGCAAATTTAAAAGATTCGAGCAGCGCGCAAATATTGTTTTGATTATGATTACCCTGGCGGCGCTGCCAAGAGGTGCTTTTTGTGAATGGTATTTCAGTTTACCTGAAACAATGGACTGTTTTCTTCGTCCGAAGACAATGTGATGATATCGCAGCCACTCATTTCCTGTGAATACAACTACACATTTGGACGATAACTAAATTTACTTTCGGAGACTCAAAACATTTACCGACCTACACCTAATTTTGCCTGCCGTATGTAACCAACGCTCACATTACACGTTCAAGAATACTGAATACTTTACACGTTCAAGAATACTGAATGATTGGACCTAACCATTAAAGAGCACATTCATGACGTCATTATTGCACTTATATTATTTAAATTCTTTCAACTATTTCAATGTCTGAAATGTACATCTTATATTTTGGAACGTAACTGTAACAAAAGAAATCAGCTGTATGTAGTTACTCCATCAAAATATTACATACGGCGTAATTTACCTCTTATTTCTAGTTGACTACAACCGTTCATGAACGAATTCTGCTCATTCGCCTTTATGAACTGTTACTTCATAGCCTTCTAAGTGTGCTACAATGCCATTCGTCTGTAATGACTACTGCAAAACATAATTCGTGACATTAAAATTAATTTATGACGTGAAATATGCTATTATGTACTAGTCTTGCCTTCTAATTACTCTGTAATCTTGTAGCTTGTCTATTTGGAAAACAGTAAACACATACCAGAGGTCCCTCAAACGTGAAAAGAACACCATTGCAGTTAGCACAGAAAATACATATATAGTAAGCATCATGAGGAATTTGGCAACGAGACCTCATCGCCATCTTGGGATTATTCACTTAAAATAAGTACACACAAGTAACTCCTATCACACTCAACAGATGTCGAAATATGCACGTATTTTATAACTAGAGCATGGCTTTGGTACGTACGTTGTTACTGCTCAACAATTAAAAAACCCTTTGACTGTCATGAGATGTAACGGTGATAATGCCATTGGATCGTCAGTACCAACGAAACTGTTATAATGAATGTCCGCATGCCTGACAGGTAAATGCTATAAGGAATCCTCCAAACCAGACTTCTATAATTGTTGTATAGATGAATATGGCTGTCTTCTGGGTTGTTGGGCCATGTAGTCTGGTAGAAGTTTACCAGCGTTTCAGAGGCCCTTGCTTCTTCCATCAACATCGCCCTTATTACCTCTGAAACAAGCTATCATCAAACTCACCGCTGTGAAAACCGCACATCCAGCATGATTATATACATAGATGACAACATAACTGACATGGGAATGGCTATATAAGGGATGCCATGCCTGACTCTTTATAATATAAGGCAATATATCAGAGGCCTGCATAACTGACTGGTAGAATGGCTATTTCAGGACATCTATAACTGTCTGGTATAATGGCTATTCAATGGCTCTGCACCTGACTGATGTAATGGTTATGTAGATGCCTGCATACCTGACTGGTGTAATGCCTATAATAAGTCCATCATATCTAAATGGGAAATGGCAGAATTCATACCTTATTGGTATAGTGACCATATAGATAGATGACTTCATATCCGAATATACTTGTCTGTTTTAATGGCTTTTATTGGCCTCCAATGCAGATTGGTATAATGGCTATATAAGAAATATACCTTACTGGGGCTCCCTCCATACCAGAATGTTATAAAGGCTGTATGTATAACCATCCATAACTTGGTAGTAGTATTTCTGTAAAAAGGGCCTTCAATATTTGACTGGATTAATGGCTTTTTCAAGCCTTCATACCTTACTGGTACAATGGCTATATTAGGGGCTCTGTACCTGACTGGTGTAGTGGGTATACAGATGCCTCCACAATTACAAGTATAATGGCTACACACACAAGTCTCCATAACTGAATTGCAATGCGGTTATGTGCAGACTTCCATTCACTATTTGTATAACTGCCATACAGATGCCTCGACGCCTGACTGATATAAGCGCGCCTTTATACCTGACTGGTATAATGGCTTTATAAGTCCCTTCATATCTAACTGGTGTAATTGGTAAAGTGGAGACTGGTATAATTGCTGTATGGATGCCTTGATATGTCACTCCTGTAATGGGTGTATTGATGCCTCTGTACCTACTCCTATAATGGCTAAGACACCTCAATACTTGACTGGTATAGTAACTAAAAAGCTGCCTCAGTACTCAACTGTTATAATGGCTATTTTGCAGCCTCAATAACACATATATAGGTGCCTCAATATCTAACTAGTATAACTTATATTTTGATGTCTTCATACTTGACTGTCATAATGGTTGTCTGGAGGCCTCGTGCTTGATTGGCACAGCATGCACATGTGCAAACACACACAGGGATCTGCAATAATGGCTGGTATAATGGTTATGTAGACCTTTCCATACTTGGTGAAGTAGTTACTGAACAGGTGTGTGCATTTAAATATTTGGACTGTAAAATATTGAGTGGTTACATGAATATGGTCTTAGAAGAAAACAAAATAATATAATTAATTACATGGACATATCAAGAGGAATTTCAGAAGCATGAAAGTTGATGTAAAATAATATTTAAATAATGTAGTGTCAAATCCTAATCATGGGTTTAATGAATACAAGACAAGAAATGATTGAAAGCTGCACTAATGAGTTTTATGAAATTCTTATTTGGAGTGAGAAAGAAGTAAGGATATTAGGAGATAGCTAACAGTAGTTAATATTAATATTAATAATTACGGAACAAATGCATGTATGCAAGTATACATACATGCATATACACATACGTACAGGTGTGTTTTGTGCATGTGCACATGGTTGCATGGATGTGTGTATAAGGTATATTGTGTCATTGATATCAGAAAGAGATATGGTCACTAGTAAGGTAAAATGAATGGAAAGGAATCTGAACTTTATTAATTAAAGGAATACACAGGGGCAATATCTTGAAAGAGGCCATGACATCTCATGACTTATGGACTCTGTTACATCTCAATCAGAGCTACATAAGCTCTTCAGTCGTGATGCCTTGCACCACCCCCGCATGATATATCAACTTTTGGTTCAACACCATCTTCCTTATAATCAGTCCCTCCTACATATAATTTATTTATTATTACCGATATAATTTAACAACATCCTGTCTCAACTGTGAATTTGGAATTTTGAAATTTACAATCCCATGGCTTGTGCAATAAGTACTGTTTATGATATCATAAAAATCTTTCATTTTCAGAACAGATATGAAAATTTTCCTTTTCCAGTGCATTGGTCATGCACAGCAAAATACACTCTAATTGTTCTTAAGATGGTTGTATATTTAGTGAGTGTGGGACTTATTTCCTTGCGTCAAACTCTTTCACGTAATAACTCATTGTAGGTTAGTAAGAGTAAGGATGACCAAACAAACAGATATCCATCTTCGCAGCATTACAAGCACTAAAAAGGACAATAAGGTAGAGAAAGACAGGACCAGCAAATTTAAAAAGACATGATTTTTATTTATTTCTTGTCTATTTAACAACACTTTCTGTACCTAGACAAAAAAGTGTGAGATGAAAAGATAACTGTGACTAATGAATTGGAAAGGTATGTGGAAGGAAGTGGTGGTGGCCTAATTTAAGGTACTATCTTGGCATTTGCCTGGAGGGACTGAGGAAGACCACAAAAAACCTCAGTCTGGATAACCAGCTTCTGGGCTAAGATTTGAATCTGGGGTCCCCAAATACAGAGCAGCAATGCTACCACTCGACTAAGACGTTAATTGACATGATCTTTGAAACAGTTATGATTTATTTATAAACAATGTCCTAACAAAAAATACATTACACCACATCAGATTATATACTCACAGCATACCACCTCCATTCTTTCATACTGTTAATGCACCTACATAAAACACAAACAGTGATATGAAAGAATAGACCTTACAGTTCATTTAAAAGGCACTCTTCTCTATTAATAATTACAGTCCACCATTCTTACCATTTGCCTGTCATATGAAGTGCAACAAAATATCCTCATATAAAAACAATTGCAATACATAAACTCACTGAAACTAACAAGTCAGTGAGATTTGCTAATAATGAATGCATAAAAATGTGATGAACAATTATGCTCTATGAATAATTTTATATGCATGTAACTTTGTAGTTTATTTAGTCTTCAGCATAAATTAAGTACTAAATATGACTTAAAAATTAATATTTAAAAATCAGGATAATTTCATATGTACAAAACATTCAAATGAAACTTTACTGTATACTCTTACCGCCATGTTTATGATTTCCAATAGTACAGTATATTAAAATATATAAAGGAACAATAGTTTTGCCTTCAGAAAGACAGAACAAATTAACTAATTTCAACCACAAACACAGTAATGATCCTGATTTTGATCTGTTTGTTTCATAGACCTCCCAGAGCCATGGGAAATGTCATTTAAGTTTCTAACTTATGCAGACAGAAAATCTACAAAATTACTATTCAGATTCAAGATGCAGCAATTATATGAAAAGAAAATCCCTTGCTAATATCCCAGAATCTGAAGTATTCTAACATTAAATACCCACTGTGAACCCATGACAGTATCATGCACCCAGTAACAATTACCAAGTGTCTGAATTTCCTTTTCCTGCAGTCATCATTAAATACTGATCAACTTTTCAAACTCAGATATAAAAATAAAATTATCAAAGGAAATAAATTACTATACTATGATAGTAACTACTGTACCAAAAATATTCATGGATCTGCTATTATGTTCGCACATGTAAGTTTAGCCGACAATAATTGCAGCATCTCCTAGATATCTAGATTAAAGTTAATTTCAGTTTATGTCAAATTTTCTCCATAAGATTACGAAACTGAAACAAAGCTACTTCTAGTGCCTTAATTGTTATAAGACAGTATTTATTAATTGGTTTTGAGCATCGTGTATGATGATAGACCTGTAACGATATTCGATAGATTAATAACGTTACACATTACAAGTATCAGTGAGCAATAATCATCATAGTAAAAAATTATGTAATTACATTATGCCATTTACTTTATAAGGCACTCAGTCAGGAATGCACTTTAATTCCATATAAATATGACACAATATCACAGCAGTCAAAAATGTAACATACACATGGTTAGAACTGCGTAAATGTATGATACAAAATTTTCCTATCATTTTAATATCTTTAATAAATAAGTACATATATATCATTTGGATGTTAACATGTAAAATGAAACTTTCATCAGACTAGGGAATATGTGTTGTCTTCCTTTCTTTGTCTTAATGACATATATTTTATTTTTTATGATAGATGCCGTAAATGGAAGTAGTCAGTTTAACATCTCCGGTGCCATAACCGGTTTAGTTATGCAAATTTATAAATATTTTAGGTTATGGAAACTAATTTAGTAACTGAAAACCATGACACCATGAAAATAGACCTATATATAACATGGCGGATATAGGTTAGTCCAGCAACCTGCAGATGAATGTCAGATGAAACAAAAAGAGTGGCATCACCCTGTATTAAGAAAAAAGATCATAATGAAGAAGCACATTACAGCACCAATTTGGTCTGCTAATGGATTTTATTAAAACAATATCAACACTTGATCAATCATAAATGTGTGGATTTCTGACGTTCAACAACATGATATATAACTAAAAAAAAAATTAATTCACATTTATTACAATAAGTACTTAATTATGTCATGCCTTTCTGTCTATCTTGTATGTTTTATCTCTAAAATGATTCCACTGATTTTGGCAGAATTTGGTATTGAGGTCTACACCGAAAGTTACTGGATGAATTTTATTGTGGTCTATATACAGTCACTATATAACCCCTACTTTGCATACAGTTCAAATCAACGTTCATCAAATGAAAAAACATATATATATACAACTCAATGTACAAAATTTGTAATTATGCAGCTTTGTTCATAATAGTTTGTATCCGCAAAATATGAATGTGAAGGTCGATGATACATGCAAAATAAGATTTTTTTTTGAAATTCCAAATTCTTTATTTCCTTTGGGCAAATTAGCTCAGCAGTAAAGTACCTGGGTGATACAAAGCATTTTCCTGAAAGGCCAGGGTGGTAAAGAACCAGAAGTGACAAGCCCTGTTTGGTTGGAGAAAGTGGGGGGGGCCTGATGTGGCCTTGCCCTATAGGTAGCCAGGCACCTACGGGGAAATTACAGGGGATGGGGTATCCCTAGGTGGTTTAACCCATAATGGTAGATGCTCAGGTGAGTCTGAAGAACCAGTGAGGGCAAATCTATCGATTTTGGAAGTCCAGCTGGGCAAGACAGGAAAGAATCCCCCTTGATCAGACAGCATGGGGATTAGGCCTTAGTGGTAAAACCCCTGGGGCAGAAATCCCCATCAGGGGCACTACTGGGGGGGGGGGAGTAGTAACAGGGGATGCCTAGATGCCCAAATCCCAAGGTGGCAGTCTTGGTGTTTTTCAGGCTTGCGGTGATCTAGCCTGAGACGGTAGAAGCCCAGGTGTGGCCAAGCGCGCAAGGTCTTGTTCTGAAGGAGGGGACGCGAAGAAATGACAAACTAGATATTAATTATGTCAACTGTGACAGCTATAACATTTCCAAATTAAATTTCATGATTAAATTGTTGATACTGAAAGAATGCAATCCCTTGAAATATTGTCAGTGGGATAATAAAAACTGGATAAAGAGAACTGCTTGTTTAGTAAATCACAAAAAAACAAACATGAACATAAATAAAGCAGATATACAACAAATATGTTAAATTTGACGACTGATATATAACATGAGTCCAGAATACATTATTAATAGATATCTGTACAATATTGCACTTCGGTCAGAGATCACTGTTTGGCCTTCATAGAGTCTCTTACAATATACTGTGGTACGCAATGGTCCCAAAAACTCTGTTGAGCAATTTCAGTGTTTAACTAAACCGCTCCAAAACAATAGCACCACTAATTGTTTAGTTAGATCACCAGAACTTCACAAAGAGATAAAATTGACTCAAATTCTCTAAATACTTCATGAGTTTGGATCTAACTCATTTGAGGCTCTTACAACTAATAAAGTGAATATTGCGGATACAGAACACTGTTGTGATGTACCTCTTCATCAGTATCTGCTCACTCTAACTGGTATTTTCAATCTGTTGAAATCCATTGAATTCAGTTTTATAATACGGCAGAAATTACGGTGATTTCTTCATTAGCAATCATATTTCATTTGCACTAAAAACGTAATTCAGAAGTGGAAGATCACGTGCCCTTCTTACGACTTCCGTTATTTATCTTCAAGCACTGGTGGTATTTTCTAAACAATATACAAGACAGTTAGTCATCATACAAATAAGACTGGAAAGGTGTAATTTATACCAGAACACAGCATTTCAAACGCATTCTTTGTAAATTTGCAATATTATATGTGCCCAGTACTTGCAATTCCCCAAAAACATCAGAATGTGCCGATGTGGACATGAGTAAATATAACTTGGTCACTTAAAAGGCAGAATAAAATTTCAAAACACGCGGCGGACACCTAGAAACTGTTCACAGTGGCAGTCATTATTAATGAGATCAGAGGTGACTGTGAACACAGGAAAAGATAAAGATAAATTATTACTACTGAATTTCAATTTCCAGTACTGTTTGGTCTGCCAATGGCACTGCTAAGTACTGAAGGTGGCGTTCGAGCTGGCGAAACAATGGCAGCCAATGAGGTGGGCGTGTTGTGGCAGTGGACGCAATGAAGGCAGATGGCACAGTGGCCGAGGCGACGAGACAGTGTTGCTCGCAGTTTAAGCGCTGGCCCTAACTTCATGCCCATGGTCACTGTGAGGTGGTCCTCAGTCAAAAGTGGCAATGATGAGCCATCAATGCGCTGCTCCCGGAAATTCTGCAACAAAAATGAACCCTGTGAGTACACTTACACAAATCTAAACTACTTTTAGTCAAATGGTTAAAATTAAGGATCCGAGTATTGTTATACCGAACTAAGGTTCACTTGAATGTGAAGGGTTTTGAAGATGGGTTTATTATTAAAGTAACAAACTTCCAGAACATTGGGCTCAACAAAGTAGGTTTTGCCCGATGAAGTCCAAAACGTCATGTTATAATTACATTAAAACGACAACGTTTGTTATTTTAAGTTTCACCTTGTTTTACTGTCACTGCATACACATGTAGGGACAATGGATTAAAATAGGCCACTGCAGCTTGATTCTACATCCTTTTCAATCCATCAATCATAAATCATCACACAATTTAACACTACATAACACAGGCAATTGAAATAACTTAAGTAGGATTTAAGGTTCTCACGCCGGTGAGTAAGAAGATGGCTGTCTTCTGGGTTGTAGCACCCTGTAGTCTGACAAGTTTGTCGGCGTTTCAGAGGTCGTTACTACCTCCATCATGAGGGCAATGAGTACTGATTATGGAGGCAGCAAGCACCTCTGTAACGTCGGTAAACATTTACCAGTCTACACGGCGCAACAACACAGAAGGCAGCAATCTTTATTCTCACCGCCGTGAGAACCCTAAATCTTACAAACTGAAGTGGATTTTGTTCAGCACCTCCGTTGCGGATGTACTGCAGCGCCTCGCAGCTGATACCATCATTATTTCACCAGAAGCAACTGAGTGCTTCCAGTTGGCATTAGTGACGGTCCGTGGTGTATGCCAACCAAATTGGCGGATGTTACTTTGGTCGTTTTTCATTCGTTTTATGGAAGTCGAAAACAGTCAACGGAAATAGTCTTTGGATCAGGTCAGAGATAAATGGAGTCTGCTCGTACAGATTCTTCGACAACAAAAATATTTGTGTGATACTATAGCAGAAAGACATAAGGAAAGAGAGCTTTAAAATCAGAAAGACACAGACCTATAGAAATAAAATTGACGAAATGTCAAAGGTTGTGATTATTCGTCTTGCCTCTTATCTCGACTGCAGTATATCATGTTTATCGTCGACCAATGACATAATATGGACAAACGTGCCGACATAATTTCCAATTAATCATTTAAAATAAGGATACCATGTGATGGTACATTATCTACATTGTAAGCAG